ATCACCCCTTTAGTCGGTCTCATTTGGCTGCCTTAATCCCCCGCTTCACTTTCGTGCTATTCTTGTCAAACTTACTCACGGAATTTCACAGATGCTAGTCCCCAGAAATCGAAAAGTTTTTAACATCTTTATGTATGAAAGAAATGTGAAGTTCACGCGAGTTCAGGTGCAAGCGAATATGAATTTTTGTGATCGAAACGAATCAACAAATCGTAGAAGGTGTCGTGAATGGAGCCGTTTCTCAAAAAAAAAAGTTGTTCTTGGCCGGGAAGGAATCGAACCACGCCTCTTTGTGTCTGGATACACCTGTTACCACTACACCACCGGTCCTTGTTCTAAGTTCAGCCTGGCGACACATCTTCTGTGTGTCTGTCTTTCAAAGCAAGGCACACCTTTCTTTTCTTCTCTGCCCTTACAAAGCAGTTTTCATCTTTCTCTTTGTGACGGCTTTTCACGGGTTTTTCGTAACAAAGGGCGGTTTTGCTTCTCATCGGTGGGTTTCTGGCTGCGGATATTGTGTTTCCCATTTCTGTAGGAGCGGTCTGATATAGTGTTATGTTACTGCATCATTCTTACGCTGGTCATCTTTTGAGCAATTTCTACCGGAAAAGTAGAGTTGTAGTTTCAAACAGAAACTGACATATCTTCGGGCTCGTCGTTATCCTGATCATCTGCCATGAGCGCCTCATATTCCTCCAAGCAGTACCTATCCCAGTCATTCAATTCTTCATCGCCGTCCGTCTGAAAAACACTGAGTAAAAGTTTAGCAAAATAGACAAACAGTGTTGTCCAAAAATGAATACGACAAATACTTCAGTTTTTACTGGAATGAGATCCTTACCCTTCTGCCGTCGTTAGTACTTCCTTTCTCAGCTTAGGGCACAAAGTTGAATGATCTGAGCCGAATTTCTCATGGCTAACAGTAAACGTGCGCTTTGCAACTGATTTAATATGTGCAATGAAAATTCTGAGAATTTTGCAACAGGATGGTGCGATTAAATTCAATTCTTCGCAATTTTATCAAGCCAGCAGTGTATCCTTCAGCACAAAAAAGCAGCGGAAATCTCTTTCTCAAATACTGCACTGGTTAAGTGGAACCCACTATTTAAATGAGAAACAGAGAAAGAAAAAGGTAAAAGGTGAAAAGCCTCTGAAATAGTATTCTACAAAAAAATTAAAGCAGTAACCATGAGCCGTCTTTTAGCCCTAAGCGTTGCGTTTGGGGCAAATATTTTATGAAGCCTAACTATACTGGCCCTGAAGCATGAGACTCTTGGAATTGGAAATTTATGAAACGGTCAAGTGAAAAACAAACCACTGTAGCACGCTCCCCTTCGCTTGCTTCCTGCTCGTAGTACTTCACCCAATTAACAAATGTATTGAAGAACCTCGTACACAGCGGGCATTTTTTAAGGTCCGACAGTGAAACTGCATTCGGCTGCTTCGGGCGAATCAAATCCAATAGCTACAATGAAACCAAGCATTTCGAATTCTGGCCGTAAAAACCAATCCAACTTAAATTTATGAAACATCTACTGATGCATTCAGAAGACGAGAGGAAAAGCACTGTAGTTTGCTAAATTTACCAGAACTATCGAGACCAGGTAAAAATTTACACCATCAAAAAAACTTAGGGGCTGTGTTAGACATATGAAGTGATGGAAAAAAGTGCAGGGTAAAAAATGAGGTTCTACTCAAGACAGTGAAGCCCAACAACTTTGCTGAAACTTTTGCTTGCTGAATCAAGATTTGCTGATGAAAATAGGAATCAGTAACAGGAAGGCAAAATAAACTGTTCATGTATTTGAGTATATTAACGTTAATATCTACAAATCAACCAAAAACTTCATGCATTGCAACGTCTTGAGTGGTTCAGATCTAATTATTGCAGTGTGTTGACAGCAGGCCCCTAACAAAACACGGTTTTTTGCACATGTTGTTCGGTAAAAAAATACCTCACCTTGGTCATTTAAGACAGGATAGTCAACGCACATTTGTGATATCTCAAAATAAAGTCCCACCAATTGATTTTGTTAGGGAAACTGCCGAATTGGCTAATCTTTTCAGGAGATAATAAATAATGGGGCACACCATGGTAGCTGGTGTGATCATACGTTTTGTGCAACCCAGTCCAGCAAACGCTCGTGCAGTTCTGTCCTGCGAACACTTTTAGAATATTGCCCAACTGACGCTTGCGCAACTCAATTCAGAAGTAGGATAACGCGGTGTTACAGGTGTTAAAAACTGGGAAAATTTAAAGAAATTAGAAAATTAAAATTGAACCTTGCTGTTAAAAGTCTCAACTGCATTACTGTTTGATAAGTTACGTGTTAATTTTGGCGCACAAAACTTTGCTGTTTGTGGTTTCTGAGTTATTAATTCAAGCATCAAAATTTCCACGTAGCCATGCGTGAGGTCCAGGCGCCCGCAGATGTCGAGGATTTGAGTTTGCGAGGTCACACGCGAGTAGAAGGTCCTCCCACAAAAAAAGTTTCAGCTTCCTTGCTTCTCTGGTTCCCAGAATAAAATGCACTCTGAGTACACAAGCGCGCACACAACGTCTCGGCAATGCGCGTTTTGTACAACTGTTGCAGCAAAAAACACTT